AAACAAACAAACAATTTCTTGTTCACTTGACAGGGGTTCGTAATTAATTCGAGAAGAGTATGATAAAAATATTTCAAAGATTATTTAATTTTTTTTTCTTGATCTGTTTATTTTTTTGTGAAATGCAATGGCTTGTGTCTTTGTTGGGTTCAATGATACGCGCCAGGAGTTGCACGATTTGGAGACAGAGTCCAGTGTTTTCGTGGGTGCTATTCCCTTGCAACGCATTTAACCTAAATCGTGGTTTACGATCGTTACATACACACATTATGTCTATCTATATATTAAATAATCTACAACAGATTTAAGGAAGCAATAGTAATTGATATGATAAAACAAGAAAAAATATTCATTCTACAACTTCGCGATTTAACAAGAGATATGCAAAATATAAAATTTTAGGGGTATGATCATGCATATATAGAAGAGAATGACAAGATCTAGTCTGTTCACCAGCAATAGTCACAACAGTAATTCATTTCCCCAACGAAAATCTGTGTGGCTCTTTAGATTTTTAGTTTTTTTTCTTCCTTTTTTTGGGGGGGGGGGATTAGGGGGTATGATCATGCAAGAAGCTGTTGGAATATCCCATCTTTATTCAGTTATCCAACACATCTCGAGTGACAACATACGAAGAAGCAACAAGGCATCAATTAAAAGCTGGGTTTAATTACCCAATTATATAAGATGAAACGTCTTCGGAACCGGTTTTATAGCGGTTGTTTTTTCTAATAAGATTCAAAACTTGGGTACAATAAAATTTTTCTTAAAACTTGTCAATGTTCCAAACTAGGAACACCAAAATGTATGTGGAACGTACGCATACAAGAACAGTTGAAATCAAAAGTTATTTTTACAGCATACAGTGTATGTTATCAAAACAACAACAAACAAATCAGATATCGCTATAGAGAAATAACATCTAAGTATGATATTTCAATAATACAAAAATATTAAGTTACTATGCACTTCATATTTCGCCACAATTCGAACGTTGCGTAACTTATTTATTTACGAAAATAGTTTATTAAAATAAAAAGTGCTTGAACTAAAGTTAGCATGTGAACTTAAATGATTAAAATCAATTACTTAGGTAATAAAAGAAAAAAATGGAAAATAGTTAAGTAAAGAGTTAGCACCAATTTTTTAAATATTAAGTTACAGTGAAAATGCTATTGTTGCGTCAGCGAGATCACGTGACTAGTATCATGCCACCCGTTTTCTAGAACTCTCCTGTTCCTTCGGGAATGCTCTAGCATTTGCTAGATTGGGGGTGGGCTGGTGTATATAAGATGGTCACGGCGTGACGTAACAATGTGTGTAGGTAGTAAGTAATTGAACTGCAGTCAGAAAGTATTGTTGAAGTTAACGTTCGTTGTTTTAGCGTTTGTTATAGAGCGACTGTTGAAAATAAGTGTATCGGTAAAGTTATATTCAGAAAGAATAAACCAGTTTTATTAAGAAAGGACGTGTGTCGCTAAAGTTTCGTTGGAACGAAGTTACGGAAAATTAATTAACAAACGGAGACGTAACACTATCAAGTATATAATCCTTCAGTACAGCTCGATAGCAATGTAATCGCCCATATAAAAGCAGTTATCTAGTGACACCAAATGTTTGATATTAACATAATAATATCTAATTGTATAACTATAAAAATATTCCTAACTATAAAAACACTTATCACCCTCTCTTATAACACCCAACCATCACAGCTTTAAACATACAGAAACTTTAAATTTTGTGTGAACGCTGAACAATTACTTGTATGTTTTATATTACATACCCTAGTATTTGATTGCGAAAATACACCAAACGGGTACAATAATGCAACTGTAGCTGACTTGTTAGGCCTAAAAACGACACACTTTTTCTGAAAAAGATAGTTTGTGATGAATCAAACTTTTTTTTTCTCGTAAACGTGGATCTTCCATGTAACAGTAAACGTCATAAAAGTTAATGAAGTAGGATACATGTGCATGAAAACATGTTTTAATAAATGCAGAAGTAAAAAGAAAATATTACGTTCTTTAGTTATTTTGATTTCCAGAAAACGAAGTACTCCATTTTCTTCAAATAAGAAGTGAAAGTAATCTTAGATGCTGGGAATTTAAATATTCTTTATAATTTTGGAATATGGCTTACAGAAAGAAATAATAAAAATGTGTCATTGATATACTGCTTTTATTTTACTGGTTTGAAATCAGTTGTCTAATCATGTTTGCCCGTGGTGACAGAAATATAGTAAGTTTTTTCAATAAAACACGCCATTTTCTTTATTTGGTTACAAATATATCTTTTATTTCGGAAAAGGCATTTAGAGCGTGTAGCATTATTTAAAGGAGAAGGAGTATGGTAGGAATTTTCTGTGTATAAAGAAAAAAGGGCAATATCTTTTAATTTGGCAATAAATCATTATCTGGATCACAGCTCGAGGCTGTGGATATTGGCAAATGTGTTAAGGTTGAAACAAGCAATATACATTTTTATAGGTTGTTCCAATATTAAAGATTTGGAGTT